CAGCTCCCTTTGTGGCAGACAGAGAAGTGATAATTATATTATATTGGTAGTACAGGAAAACTCCCCACAGAAAAAAAGCTCCAGAGAAGTATAGCATAAGGCATGAAACAAGAAAGCAAGGTGACACTTCTAGTACTAAAATTGAGCCAAAGCCAGAGGACTGTTATGGAGTAAAGGAAATGGACTGAGTTACGTTAGAGGTATAGATAACATGAGAAACTATCTATTATTGTTAGCAAGAATAAAAGTGTTGAAAGGGTTAGGTGGTGAGAAAAGTCATATCCTATTTTCTCTTTGAGTCAGGAACTATCTTTTTGCTTTATATTTGTATAGCACATGTAAGATGCACAACAGGACCCTGGTCTATCACTTGGGCAAGTAAGTGCTATAGAAATACAAATTATAGATAATGATAAAAGGAAAAAGCAAACAACTAGTCGAGAAAGTCGTCACCCTGAAATCATGAAAGCTGTGGGTGAGCCAGTGCTGAAGAGGTGAACTTTGTGAAAGGAGCGGAAATTCAATAGAAACAATGGCAGAGAGTACTTATGAGATACTTGACTACACCTTGACCAACTGGGAGATCACAAAAGAACTGCAGGGAAGGGCAAGGGGACAACACTGAAGATAACAGAGAGATAAGGAAAAACTTAGAGAACAGAGAAAGAGCAGTGATTAGTGGAGACAAGGCCAAATTAATTGCTATTCTGGTGGGTGGTAGAATTCACCCAGTGTTCAAAGGTCAAATAAAGAGGTAAGAGGTTAATGAGTTGGAAAAGACAATAATCCACACATTGAATTATACAGTGATGTGGGTGGCAGAGTGATGGTGAGGACAGAAGAGTCAGAGAAACGGGTAGAAAAAGTTTGGGAGATGGTGAATAACATATACATGAGAAGGAAGAGAAGAGAAGAATCAAAAACAGTGCTATCCCAAGATGGAGAAACAATAAAGGAGATCTGAGAATGCTGGCAGCTTCCTGCATTCCTTTGTCTTGATGTCCTGGGCATTGGTACAGTGATCCTGGTTGGAAAGCCAAACAATTATTGATGATATATAATTACAAAATGCCATAAAAGTTAACACAGTTGATTCCAGTTAAAAATGTTTTAGTTTAAAAAAAGAGCAAATTTAATGCTAAAAATTTAGCATATATATAATTTAGTGCTAGAACTGTATTTGCAATTATCTGTGACTAGAATTAATTTTGTCATTTGTATTTTCCCAGTGGTTTCACACAGTTAAAGACACCATGATTCTTTAGCAGACACAACATAGAAACAGAAATTTCCATAGAAGTACCAAGCTCCTTGGTATTTTTTCACTGGTTTACCATACCTGGAAACTTTTAAATCATTCTTTCTATATCTTGCTAACACCAGTTAAGCCACTAATTCTTAAAGCTGTGTAGTAAGACGGGATATTTTTTTTAAGAAGTGGCAGGTATAGATGCATTATGATATATTTCTAATTACTTGACCACGTACTATTTTTCCCCAGAACCCCTGCCTCATTTAGTGCACACGATGGCCCAGACTCATTGAATAGATATTTGATGAATGATTGTGTTTTACCCTCCTCATTTAAGGTGTTGCCCCATGCTATGGTTATTGCCGACCCTACAGACCCTGTTCCAAATTCAGAAACATACATTCCTCGTGGTCTTGTCATCTTTTTAATAGAGTTTGTAACCGTGTGAGTGATTCAAAAGCATTTGTGAATTGTCTTCACAACAGATCTGAGAGTTAAGATGGTGACATTAATGACAGTTGAGGAACTAAGGCCAAGAAAGGCCCAAACTGTCAAGCATCCACTAATTTTAGGGGCCCAGTATGAGATGCTTAGGACCTTGTTTTCCAGCAGATTCAACATTTTAATTGCACTTTATCTTTGGTGCAAAGTTCCCACTGACTTCAGCTGTAACTGCCTAAGCTCAGCGCTTCTGCTTCAAAATGCACTCACAAATTAGGAAATTTTGGTTTAAGTACCTTGCCCAGCAGAAGCAGTGATAGGATCCAATTTTCTTGTCTGCAATATGACTTCCTTAATTCTGAGATGAGTGTTTCTCTTCCTTTAGTTCTCAGTTTCATAAACTGCGTATTTCAAAATCAGCAGTAAATGTAGCATTCAGTTGTTCATGGGGACCAACTGAGGTTGCATAAATTACCTTAGGTTGGGCATTTTATAGCTTTTGAATCTTTGAATTTATAACATTCATGTGCTTTGACATATTTTTATATGGAATATTACACTTGAAAATATGGAATCAAACTTGTTCCACACACAACTCTGTACCCGAGTTAAAACACCTAGAGCCACAGCAGAGCCCTTGACTACTTGTAAGTAGGGCTTGGTGAAGCTTTGGTTGCTGGTTTGATTCGGAGGAGACTCAGCCCAATTTGGTGGCCGAATCTCTGAATTGATCGGGAGGCTAATAACTAGGTCTGAATCGATCCAAAGCCTCCGAATCAATTCAGAAAGATTCAGAGGAGATTCAGAGATTCGGGCAATCCCCGCTTGCTGCCGCAGGGAGCCAGACCCAGACTCCATGCTGGTAAGCAGAGGGGGTGGGGCTGGAAGAGGGGACCATGGGGGGACCCCTGCCAGGCCCCATCCCCTGCCTGCTCCCCCAGGCCCCCTGAGCATCTGAACCCTGCCTGCTCAGCCCCATCAATGGCTGCCCTATGTGGCCCCAGCGTCCCGGTGCTTAAAAAAAAAAAAAAGCCTGGCACTCACCAGCTGCTGCAGCAGCCATTAGGGCCTCTGGGGGCTTGTGGCAGAGCCCCCCCCACGTAGCACAGGGCAGTGAGGGGCAGCGGGGATCGCCTCCGCACCTGGCAGAAGCCGGTGAGTGTGGGGCTTTTTTTTTTTTTTAGTGCTGGGACACTGGGGCCAGGTGGGGCAGCCATTGATGGCGCTGGGAGAGCAGGCGGGGGATGGGGCCTGTTTGGTTTGGAGAGCAGGCAGAAGCCAAATCTCCGAATCAGATTTGGCCAAATCGATCCAGGACAGTGATTCGAATCAACAAATCAAATCACTGTCCCCCAAATCGGCTAAATCCGAAGCGAATACTAGCTGCTTTGCACAGGCCTACTTGTAACTTGTAGCAAGCTGTTATTCTCTGTATCAGTGGTGCTCAACTTATGGCCAGCAGGCTGGATGCAGCTCATGAAGAGAATGGATCCAGCCCACAGCACAGGGAATCAGCAGACCTCAGAGAAACAATACGGCATGCAGATTTTCATAGTTTTCACTATCCCTTACTTTATAATGCTTTTGACTAAGAACTCTATCTCTATAACAAAAAGCAGCTGTTCAACAGCAATTTTGGCTTGTAGTAATCAAATTTATTTCCACCACAGAAGCACACTTATTTCAATAATAAAAAAATAACACTTTATTTGCACAATAAAAGTAATCCTGTAGTGGTATAAATATATTTACGTGTACACACATCCTATGCAAATCACCCAACATATATTCCAATTGTACACTCTGATAGGGCTTTAGGTTTCTAACGAGTCACCAGAGTTAAGTTATTTGTAGATCTCTCATCTTCCTGAAGTCTGGTTCAGTTGAGACATAGGAGAACATTCATATTTAGTTATCTATATAAAGTTTCCTTTGCTCTTTTTAACTGAAGCAAATACATTACTTATGAAAAATACTGACAGCCTTCAATACTATTTTCGTTTGTCTACGGAACATATGCTACATGGACAATAGCAACGGCAGCATCTTTGTACCATGTTACCAATGTGTCTCAATCCTGGAATGAGAGGTTAGTTTATTACTGGGCATGTTTACCCATGCATTTTAACAAGCAGCAGACTATTTTACTGCACATTAAAGCATCAAGTAAAATTTCATGCCATTATATTATGCTAATGCACAGTAAAACAGTCTACTGTGCATTGTCACTAAGAAAGTGTGCAAATGCACTACTGCACTTTAGAGCAGCCTAATGCACATTAATTTAGTACCTCACACCAGAGGTACTAACTTTAACGTGCATCAGAAAAGGTGCATTAATGTACGTGTAGATGCGCTCACTGTGTGTTCAGTCACTGACTTTGCTTCTGAGACTGCCAATGAGTGAGCCAATTGTGCTCTATTCTTTTGCAATCTGCCTACCTGCAGGTCAAAGAATGGACACAGTACAACAATGTATAAGCTAACTGAGAGTAAATTCAGGCTGGACATAAGAAAAATCTTTTTCTCGTAAGAGTCACCAGAATCTGGAATTCACTCCCAGGAGAGGTGGTACAATCACCATCCTTGGAGATGTTCAAGATGAGGCTAGACAAGCACCTTGTTGAGCTTGCCCAATTATTTCCTGCCCATGGCAGGAGAGCAGACTTGATGATCTAGCAGGTCCCTTCCAGTCCTTAGATTCTTTGATTCTAAAGTCTATTACAGAGGTCAGGATTCAGACATGAAGTCTAGAAGTACAATGCTCTGGATACTTCTAATTCACTGGCCCACCCATCAGTCCAATTTTTATTGACACACAATTGATGTGTGACACTGGCTAGCACACATTCTTCAAGCCAGCAGAATACTATCTCCTCTGTCATGAGAAAAATAATATTGAGTGAAATTAGCTTGCACTTCACTAATTCTCAGAAAATTCCTGAACTATACCCTGAATTTAGTGAGAGGAAAGTTTGTTAAGGGAAGAAAGGTAAGGAAAATTAAATTATCACCTTGCAGTTTTCTCTATGTAAATAATAGTTACCTATGATTTGGGCTAATTTCAGCACTATTCCCTCACAATACAGACAGATTCATTTTGCTGATGCCTACAGTTTTCAGGTACTACTCTTATACCAGTGGAAAGGCAGTCTTGATCCTTAAGGTGCTTGTGAGAGCAGGACACTAAACTAACAACACACTACTGAAGGTGAGGGAACATAACACATACTTCTGCTACACTGAAGGCCATTTCATACACAAGGTCCATTTATGTTGGCACACTGACTTACCAAGCACCATTCCATTTTTTTAAGAGTTTAACATCAACATTCAATTCTTGACAGAAGACATCAAACCCCTAGGACAGTTTCAGTGTTAAGAAAAAGCTACCTATATTTTACAAACTTCAAAGTACTGGTTTGACACCTTAGCTAAGAAGTTCACTGCAAGTGTCCTTCTCGCTGAATTCTAAGGCGTTCTTTCTCCACTTGCAAACGTTCCTTCTCGATCTGCAACTTCTCAGATTCAAACTTTAAGAACTGCAGTCTCTCTTTCTCTAATTGCAAACGTTCTTTTTCAAGCTTTAATTTTTCCGTTTCTAGATCCAGAGGCTGCAAGATGGGTTTTTCCCCCTGGGCAAGGTCATTCTCCAGAGCAGGTCTGTCAGTGTGCAGGGCTTCTAACCTTAGTTTCTCCCTCTCAATCTGCAATCGCTCCTTCTCCAACTGAAGTCTCTCATGCTCCAAGTCCACATGCCGCAGCCGCTCCTTTTCGATCTGCAGGCGTTCTTTCTCTACCTGTAGTCTTTCAGCTTCAATGTCTAGTCTCTGTTTCTCCAGCTCTAGTTTCTGCTTCTCTAGACTTATGAGTAAATGAGAATCCTCATAGGCAAGCCTGGCTTGAGCAGAGCTTAGATTTCCAAATTCTTCGATATGGGTGAAATCAGGTAGGTCATTTTCCTTTTTGGAATCTGGCAAAACTGATGACAGAATTTCTTCTTCTTCCTCAATAGGAAACTATGGAAGGAACGAGATACATGATTAATACTTTGACATTTGTATTTCATATGAAAACAGATAGACTAGCCTGTTTACTTCCCACATCTCAGAAGTTATTCCAGACATCTGGTTAACTTATATCACGCAAAATTTGTGTGTTAAATGCAAACATTAAGGTTTCTGTAGTTACAGATACAGAAAAAGACTTGACTTTGTGATCAACAGTAAATTCACATATGTTCATGAAAAATGGAAGAAAATTGCTTCAGCAGATGTATATATAAAATGGTCAAAAATGTGTTTATTCTGTAAAGTTCTGTTTAAAAATAGGCTGCGAGTGAGATTTCAAATTTTCAGATTCACTTTTCAAAGAGAAGTAAGATTAAGAAATGTGAGCTTGTTTTACTTTTCATGTAATTCAGTGCCTGGGACATGAGAAGCTCTGAAAATTTTTTCTGACCAATTATTTAATAGTTGGAACTGTGCACCAGTCATTTACCTTGCACAATACTGAATTCATTATTAGTGTGAGGGATATATACAAATATATATGCAAATATTTTTATGAGATGTTATAGTTTATTGGAGATCTTCTATTTTCTCTCTCAAAGAGAGAAGTAAAGTGTTAAATGGGCACAAAAATCAGGATTCAAAAGGTCCCTTAGTTATATTTATTGTAGTCCTCTCCCTAGGTCAGGGGTTTTAAACTGGGGGTATGCGAACCCCTGTGGGTACCTGGGATGGCCTCAGGGGTTACTTGGCAGCAGGCGCTGATGCTGCAACCATGCTGCTGTTACACTCACTGATCGGCCACGGGGGACCTTCCTCTCAGTCACTGACTGGCTGCTGGGGGACCCCCTGCCCACTTGTTGACTGGCCACTGGGGGAATCCTTCCTTCTCGGCCGCCGGAGGTACATCGACCCAAAAAGATTGAAAACTCCTGCCCTAGGTGATGAGGACCCTGGGTATAAGAAAAAGGGGGTAGTATTGGTATCTTGAAATGTGCTCTAAAAATGTATGCAGTGCCTTTATTCCCAGGTTAATTTTAGCGGGCTTTGTCTCTAAATCAAAATAAACTAGCAGTACTTGTTTGGAAATAGAAAGAAAAAAGTATCTACTCAGATGTGTGTACAAGTTGTTTACAACTTGAATATAAATGCTATTAATGGAATTCTGGTTGTTCCAGAACACACTGCTCTCCTCCTCTTTCTCAGGCTGCTCTACAGATGCATTGCTAAAAGAAGGAATTCTTCCTAACAGAAATCTGGCATGAGGGATAAGTCAGCCAATACTTCCTTTTCCTCTGCGATTAGATTGTGTTAAGAGATGACCCCAAGATGCTCTTCCCTGTCGCCAAGTGACAACTTTGGATTACAAAAGAGGTGGGTTCTAAAGGAGGATGTATGAAGAGATGAGAATAAGATAAATACTTAACTCTTCCTTTAGTCTACATGGATTCTAAGTCCTATCGACTGTAATAAATTTGCCTCCATGGTAGAGAGGGAAAGAGAAAACAGACCTGCAAACATTTTCAAAGGGACTGAATACCAATATAATTAACTACAAGTCAAGACCTTACACACATTTGTGAGTAGATTTTGAATAGCACCTCTCTGGTAGATGCTCACCTCTGGAGATTTTTCATTCACAACGTCAAACTGCTTTGGGAAATTATAATATAGCTGAATGCTAGCCAGGAGTGTGGCTAGTGAAAAGAATGTCCATACAGAAAAACCTACAGTAACTACTTACTTCAAAACTCTGTGGATCCTCCTCTTCCTCTTCTACCTTGATTTCTGTTAAAGATCCACCTGCTTCTCTGAAGTCTGTGATGTTTTGCCATTCAAAATTAGATTCACTTGTAAACCCTATTTTCTCATCCATATCTTCATTGAGAGAGTCATCTAAATCAGATGAAGGAAGATGAAACCCACCACCTACTACTTTGATGTTTGCATTCAGACGCTTTCTCTTCATGAGTGCTCTCCAGTCGAGGTATCGCCTTTTCACTTCTGTCCCTGTTCTCTGTTCTCCTTCACCCACAGCATTCACACACTCAGCTATTTCCTCCCAAGCCTTCCGTTTCATCTCATTAATTGTTGTATTAAGCTGCTTAGAAAAAAGTACCTCTTTCCTTTTTCTGATTTCTTTCAGGAGAGTTTGAGTTTCCTGAACGCTAAAATTGCTTTTTCTTTTTCTTTTTAATTGTTTCATTTTTTCCAGCTTTATATCTAATAATTGTTGTCGAAGCAGACTAAAGAGATGATTTGCAAACAATAGATTATTTATACCAATAAAAATAAAAATAATCAGAAGGTGGCACTTAGTTCTTCAGGCAGTGAATCCACTCTTCATTTGGTAGTATTTCTATTTGGCAGGCTCGCAAAGCTCCTAAGAAGAAAGAACAAATATACGTCTTGAAAAATATATAGTGCGTATGAACATGGCTCCTTAGTCAATCATGGCAAAGAGCTTATATAACTGATCATTCACCCACCTGATGGAACAAAACTTAAAAATATTTACATACAGAATAGCTATAAATAAGCTTCTCTAACCTCATACAACTTACAAGCATTAATACAGGCATTCCCATATCTTTGTTCATGGAGAGCCACTTAAAAGGCACAGCATTTCACACTGGAGATGGCATTGCATTGCCAATTTAATTTTTGTTATGCATTTATGTTCAAGAGATTTAACACAATATGTCCTATATGTACACAAAATTACACTAAGAAGAATCATAGGCTAAAATTTGAGACACATGGCTTGGCTTGAGTGCTATTTTCTAACGAAGTAGCTAAAATTTGTTAAACCGTTACTTCAGAGAAGTAAGAGAAGTAAAGCATGAGTGAGAGATTTCTACAGCAGCATTTTTTAACATACTTTAGAAGAAAAGCAGTTTCATTTTAAAAGCTGACATTTTGGAGGCACTTAAAACTTCTATTATATCTAGAATAGGAGAACTTGAAGGGTTCCAGTGAAATATGGAAAGTATAAGGCCAGAGGGATTATATTTGTGTTGGGAAAAACACTTTTTTCCTGGCACAAATAGTGAGCTTACAGGTGCTCAAGAAGTACTGAGATCCTTGTGGCAGACTTCTTCTCTATTTGGGGAGATTCTGGGCAAGAAGCTGCATTTTTTAAAGTTGGCCTTGAGGACATCCCTGATGCACTTTCTATGCCCTCCTCTTCAGTGTATGCTTTGACTGCGCTGGAAGAATAAAACTTGCTTCAGGAGTCTGGAGTCGGATACCTGGATGACATGGCCAGCCCAACGAAGTTGATGTCAGATGATCATCACTTCAATACTCGTGTTTGCTTGCAGAAGGATGCTAGTGTTGATATATCTGTCTTCCCCCTGGATTTGGAGAACCTTCTACAGGCAGCATCGCTGGTACTTCTCCAGCAACTTTAGATGTCTCCTGCACATTGTTCATATCTCAGCTCCATACAGCAAAGTGGAGATCCACTCACTGGCACTTCTTCCTGCTTGCAGCTGCCATTTCCTTGCTTTCCTGCCAGCTCAGCCACTCCAGGTACTGAGGCCAGGATGGGGGAGGCTGTATGTGTGCTCTTAGTGCGAGTCCCACATGCACACCCCACCATACACATATACCCCCCCTTGCACTACCATACACACACACCCCCACACACCCCAGCCACCCTCCCTCCCACACAGCTGCCCCACAAACCCCATACCCAACTATACCCCACATATCTACACACGCGCGCACATGCTCCCTCACCCCACACCCCCACAGACACATCCACACCCTCCCCCACACCCCACATACCCAAAGTGCCCAAAAACCTATACCCACCACCCCACAATATACAAGAGTAATACTTCATATAAGCTACTGTGCAATCACCTCTACGCACAGTACACAAACATATATACACCGGGACAAAAATATTTTTTGAAATCAAATTAATGAATGTTTCAGATGTTCATTTTTTAGAATATAATTTGGTATTTTTCTGGTTCCAAGACAGCAAAATCCCTTGCTGAAAGGAGTACTTCCAGGGACAAGGGGAGGGATGTCTGGTGGAAAAGGTCAGGGGCTAGGGGGCGGGACTTCTGGTCACAAGATGGTGACCAGGGGGCAGGGCACATGTCAAGCGGTGGGGCTACTCATGCAGCCCTCGAAAGCTTACAAAACTTGCCTGAAATAATTGCCTGCCCTGTTGTATATTTATCTTCTGTCAGCATTGCTTCTGCTGCAGCTATCATTTGGGAGCTACCTTGAGTGACATAACTCAGCGAATGAGTTGGTGATCAATTCTGCAGTCCTCAGCTCCTAGCATAGTTTGGGTAATGTGGATATCTTTGCGATCCCAGGCACAGAGGGTGACATAGTTAATCAGGTGCCAATGCTTAAATCATGGGTATTGCTATGATGTCTCGTGGTGTTTTTCTGGTAGAACAGAGTGTTGGTGATGATAAGTACACATTCTGTGCATTTGGTCAAGAGGGGGATGCCATTGGAGTTGACCTTTCCTACTCTTTCCTTGCTAATGGTTCCATTCCAGAAGTTATAGACCCTTCTAACTCTGGCATTGAAATCACCAAGAAGAATAAGTCTGTCTCCCTCTGGAAAATCAGAAAGTACTTGGTCAATTTTGGCATAGAATTCCTCCTTGGTTTCATCAAAGGCATCAAGAGTCGGGGCATAGACACTGGTGACAGTGGCATATCGTCTCCCCACCAGCTTCAGACGGAGTCACAGGGCACTCATTAATTCCGATAAGGAACTCATTGAGTTGGTTTATGAGTTCATTCTTAATGACATAACCAACCCAACTCTTCCTCTTCACCTTTCCAAAAGAAGGTATAGCCACTCCCATGTTCTTTGGGCTGCCCATCTCCCACTCAGTCTTGCTCAGTGCAGTTACATCATTATTGTGCCACCTGAATTCTTAGGCCACAATTGCAGTGCAGTGCTGTGGGCATTCTCTATTCGGGTTATCCATGAGGGTCCTGATGTCCAGGTCCTGAAAATGGTATTTTTGACTGCAGTAAAGGTGATCCCACTGGATGTGGTTATCCAGTCAGGAAGATGTGGCAGCTGAAAAGTATGTCTGTGTGATAAAAGGCTGACAAAGCTGATGAAAACTGCCAAGACCATGGTAGTAGCCACAGTGAAAGACAGCCCCGCAAAATTGTTGAGAAAAGCTGGGAAAGACTGGCCAAAGACTCCGCAAGCAAAAATGTGGAAAGACTTGTTAGCTGCCTGTTTCAATAAAGTTCAAATCAATAGACTGCCCTCCAATGTCCTGAGAGGGCTGGGGGCTAAACACTGTACCAAAGGGGCAAGACCAAAAGCAAAGCCTTCTGCACCACCAACTGCGTCACCGAAGAGATTCTCTGCACTAAGGGCAGAACTGTTGACATTGTCCCAGGCACCTGTGGGGCCGCCAGCCTCTACCCTGCCTGATCACATGGCCTAGAGAGTCTGGCCAGCCCAACTGCCAAAGACAGGGGCCACATTGAGGGCAGTAGCCAGCCGGGGACCGGTATCTAAAGATAATATTGCCCCCTTAATTCGGATACCTGTATAGATTCAATTAGGTAAAAGTACAAAGTCAATTGATATGCTATTAGACGCTGGTGCCCAGATTTGCATTTTAGATTCCGCAGATTGGAAGGGGGAGAAAAGAACCCCTTATCAAGTAATTGGAGTCAGAGGCACCAGACGACCAGGACATCTGGTCCGAGCAACCTTCGCATTACCTAATGGCTCTAAGGTAACAGCGGCAGAAGTAATACTTAAAGGGGGACCGAGCTTACTGGGACTTAATGTACTAAGAGGACAGCGGTTTGCCCTTGAACAAGAGAATTGGCAGTTTGGGTGCACAGTGCCTCACCAAGAAACAGAAGAAACCGCTATAACAGCTGTAATTCAATGTAGCATGATCCCACTAACCCTGCCTCCCATGAAAGGAGTACACAGACCCCAGTATCAAACTCCCCCCCAAGGCCACCCAACCTATCCAGTATATCATACGTCAGCAGTTAGAAGGTGGGACTATTATCTGAGCCCACTCTCTGTATAACAATCCAGTGTGGCCAGTGTGCAAGCCAAATGGAGGGTGGCGGCTGACTATTGACTTTTGAGCTTTGAATGCTAATACTGACCCCTTAACAGCTGCTGTCCCATCACTACCAGCCTTGAGAGAAAGCATCCAGTGTTATAAGCCTGCATGGATAGAATCCATTAATATCAAAAACATGTTGTGACAGTACATGTTTGTAGCCGTAGAAGTTATCACAAAGATAACATCTGCCTGCACCTCAGCGAGAGCTACAGCCCAGGACACTTGTGCAGCACTGGAAACTTTGCTAGCTGTGTATCCACCACCTATAGAAATACAGTGACAATGGCCCTCACTTCTGCAACCATCTTGTGTATGACTGGACTGCCAAACATAGCATGTTATGAACCTATCATATCCCATACCATGCACAGTCTAACGGATTGGTAGAGCGAGCCAATGGCATCCTCAAATGCAATTTGTGGTTGGCCACTGGCCCGGCTCTTAAAGACTGAGTCTTGCACCTGGATTGAGCTATCAATTGCGCCAATAACTGACCCCGTCCGGGCGGTAGCCCCATGCTGCAAGCCTCTGGATTGGGTGGTCCCCGCAAGCTGGCAGTAGAGACACCTAGGGGTGGTGACCTGGGAAAGCTCCAGGCAGGAGATTGAGTACTAGTGAAGCATCCTCAGGGAGATAAATGGGAGGGGACATTATTAGCTAGAGGTATGCATAATACATGGTGGGTATTTAAGTCAGATTCACCTAATGGGAGCCAAGCTCCTTGTTGTCATGTTCCTACAGATTGGATCTGTCCACAAGTGCAGCCATAACCATTCCTATGTGAGCCTGCCACTGAAGACGAGTCCTGCTCTGTAAGCAGTCTGAATCGACTGGCACCATGAAGTCATGGACTGTTATGAATGTACTCTTTTTATTAATGCCTTATTGTGTTTACTGAATAGGCCATGTCTACTGTCTTTCTTATTACCCAGATATTAATGAACTTGCTCCTGAAGACCTCACGGAGTGGCCTGACCTGGAAGAGCATCCCCTGGAAACGCGCTCGGATGGCCTTCATGTGGTCTAGCTGCAGTATCCATACTGGAAGAAACCCGCCACTCCGGAGCAAGTGAAGTCCTTGTCTCTGAGTAGAAGAAACAGGATAGCTGACTGGCAAGGTGGTAACTGTCAGTGCACCTGTGGCACCAGTTATCTTGGGTTCATTCCCTACCTGAAGGCTGGAATGGCTGACTGTGGAAGGGGAAGTGATTGTTGTAGCTCTGCTCGTTTAGGAATTTGTTGTTACATACTTCCTGAAGGGAACCCCGTTGAGCTCAATGCCCCAGAATTTGTGTCCCCAATAGTGCATTCTGCATCTGTTCAGCCTCTCAAGCTACTGCATTTATAGGAGAAGCTGCCCCCTCCCATTCCTATGGCTGATCGCACTCTCCAGCGGTGGTGTGAAGCCCACCAGGCGGGAAAGCGCATTACAGGTTGGAACAAAGTTATTACATGGTTTGTGAATCATACCTACACAGGAGCATGGTGGAATGATACTCACTTTAATACAACCAAAAGGAGGCTGTATCCGCAAGTCTCCACCACTTACCCTCATCCTTTCATACCAGTGGGATTCCTAAAGAAAATCAGTGCTATAATTCTGCCAGGATAATGCCGTTTCATTAACCCAATACAGCATCATCCCCATGAGCGACAACAGAAGCTCTTTTACTCTCTGGCAGGTAAAGCATGGCTACAGGCTCCCTGAGAGGGAGGGATAAATGTAACTTGTGAAAAAACAAGGTGTTCGCTATGATCTCTGGCCGTTCCCCCACGAGAGGCCCTGACCCCACCTGCGTATAACTCTACACCCTAGTGGAGGTCACAAATTAAAATCCCAACCCTCCTAAATGCTTCATTGTTCACTGCCCAAGTATTGTTCAGATCAGAACAATGGTATGTCCAAGCTACTTTTCCAAACTGTTCAGCAGGAGCCCGGGTAGCTGAAGAGTTGCTTAGATAGAAATGGCCAGTCATTTTCCGTTCCATAAGTGCACTTAAGTCCTGCAAACAAAGAGATACTCCATGTTATCTTTGGGACAGATTTAACTCAGCTATGAATGTATGGAACTTGGATACATCCCAGAAAAAC